CAGACAGACAGACAGACAGACAGACAGACAGACAGACAGACAGACAGACAGACAGTGATTAGTGCCGAGGGAAAGAGACGAGCGGGGACATTGAGAGGAATGATGGGGTAGGGGAGAGCGAGAGAGAAAAGTGGAGTGAGACAAAGAAGTGGCAAGAGAGAGACATAAGAGATGTTAAGGACTGGAAAGGTGGAGAGGAGAGGGAAGAAGGGCGAGAGAGAAGGAGAGAGAGAGAGAGAGAGAGAGAGAGAGAGAGAGACAGAGAGAGACAGAGAGAGACAGAGAGAGAGAAAGAGAGCGACAGAGAGACAGACAGACAATGAAAGAAGAGTGAACTGATAGACCAAAAAGGGGGAAAGTGTTTTACTGGCACAGGCTGGAAGTCTACAGTAAATGCAATAGGAGGTGGAAACTTTACTGATAAAATGTCACTTATTCAACACATGGGACATCATAATGTATTACTTCAAAGAACATCACTGCACGTTTTCCTCACAGAGCTACTTATGACACATTATGCTTCAGAAAAACAATGGCATACAATAACTCAGTGACATAAAAATAAAGTTGAAAAAACCCACTGTTATAAAAGAAAGGCAACAACAAAATGCTAAACTTAAGTTCAAATCTTGTTTTTGTTTGTATGTGAGAATAAAAACATGCACATCCATATAGTAACTATCATTTAGTGAACTGAAAGCAGCACGAGACAGTCAGAAGAGCAACAGAACGAAAGAAAAGAAGGGGGACCCACATGAAGCGGCCTCCAACCATTTGTTCAAACCCTGATTCCTCATTAACTGATTTAAGATGGTCGGGAGGGGGTATAAGAAAAGGTGGGACAAGGAATCAAGGAGCACGGAATACAAGGGACTGAGTGCAACGAAACTCTTCAAACAAAGGAAGATAACTTTGGGGGGCAGAAAAGACTTTTACTCATTAGTACAGGGCTATAGAGACAGAACATGAAAAATCTAGAGCTTTGGAAAAGTCAAGTTTCAGTCAATGCTCTCAATTGCAACATGACTCATATTTTGAATGACAGTAAATGTTATACCTGCTTGTCAGGGCAAACCAACCCCTGCTGGTTTAGAATTTGTGAAAGTTTTATGTCATTTGCATCATAAATAAATCATATACGCGCTAATGGCTCAGAGAAGTTAAGAGTAACATACAATGTATTTGTATGTGTCCATTCCAAAATGATGTATTAGCGCGCACATGAAATAAGCAAGTAGGTGCGTGTGTGCACGCGCATGTGTGCACGCATGTGAGTGTGAATATTATTCGTACACAAATTTATGTAAAGCGCCAAGAGTTGTATTCGCACAGGAGTGGCGTTATAGAAATGATCTACATTATTAATTATTATCATTAAATAAGGAGGAGAGATAAGGACAATAAATGTTTGATAGGAAAAAAATAGCAAACCACACTCGAGCATCCGCCAACCACCCACAACCCCACCTGGAAGGGATACAACATTCCAGGAGACAGACTGAGACACTAGGGAACTCATGTTATCTGTGGGCAACAACAAAGAATGATCAACCGTATTTCCTGAGAAAGGCAGGAGCAAAGTTCTCAGTGTAACCATCACCTGACTGAGTGCAAATAATTACCGACTCACAACACACACTATTCGGCCAAAGCAATGCAAGCCCTGGTAGCAAACACTAGGGGTAGCAGATACATTTGACAAGAATTACAAATAATGACAGCCATACATGTTTTCCAGCTCCACTGACACCACCTAGGTCATTTAGAAGGTGGGTTTTGACCCTGCCTTTCGGGGTCACAGCTAGGCTGAGAGGAATACGTTCCAGCAGACAGACGGAGATACCCGATTTAAAAAAAATCTCCCCACATGGGAATCGAACTCTTATCTTCAGTGTGCAATGGCCAAGCGCCAAATTGCAGTGCCACTGATGCCACTACATTCAAGAGAGAGAAGATGAACAGAAGTAGAGAAAATTCAGAACAGCTGTTAGAAAAGAGCAAGAACACTTCCTGGAATGTAATGGAATAAGTAAACAAAGAAAGTAAGGAACACTCAGGTGACACAAGAAAAAAAAAGGAATTGTACAGGAGTAATGCCCCTTGCGACACTCTACAGTTTTATTCAAGGGGCAGAACCTCCAAATTCAGCCTTCATTTCTGATAGAACCCAGCCAAGCAGGAACATTCAGTGTAGAGTACCTTTCGAAAGGACACGATATCGGACTGAAATAAACTTTGAAAGCATGCACAAGATTACCGCACATTAAAAAGAAAACTGGAACAGGATAATCAAATCCCACATTAAACATTTTTTTTTTCAGCAATAAAGGAAACCTCTCTATAATGCAGACATCATCAAAAATACCACGAAAAAGAGGGTGAGACTACTGAGACTGATACCCTCCCCCCAATCAGAATAAGACAAAAACAAATTTCAAACATGAAGCCACAGTGACCCAAATAAATGTGGTGCCCTACTGAGAGTGAAGCCCTTGAAAAGCGTAGTAGGTCAAGTAAATTCTGAATGGAGAGCTCAAGTTTATTTTTACCAAAAAGTGGGTGATTCATTACAAGGCTTAGAGAGGTGTATTCTGGTGTTCCAGTACACATTGCAAAGCCAAATTGGGTATTTCATTAGAAGAGGTAATGCAGGTACAACTAAGCTTTTTAAACTATTTGGTTACAATGCATCTCAGATACGAAGCCCTCTATATGCTGTTCCGCAGGAATAAGAATACGCCAGAATGAGAGGGAAAAAAATACGTATATGCAGCGAGAAATTCAGAAGTGGGAAGCATTTACCATTAAATAATTTAACAAATGACGATAAAAAAAACAAAAAGAGGAGCTGAGTAATTGTGCTAGCCTGCATACCACAACATTCCCGATCAATAGAACTAGCAGCCTGGCCTCCCGCTCAAACACACAATAGCTGCGTGTGACATTTGGAGACATTGATTACTGCAGCAGAACACAGGACAGGATCAGGGGCCGGGGAATGCCAAGATTCACAAACAGGAAGTGACGCTCTGTTTGAACTTGAATGACTATTAATGTTTGACGCCGTCATCAAAACACTTACACCCACTTTCTATGTACTTTAGGAGGCGCGTTGCTTTGACCATGCCTGTCTGGTTTTTAGTTTTAGTAAGAAGAATTACTTGGCACTGGAAAATAGGTAGCATAAGATAGGATTGAAGACGGGAGGCCTTACTACAAGAGAGTAACATATAAAGAGGAGGAGAGATTGTGCCCGTCAGGGTCAGTAATAACAAAGTGTAATAAACAGTAACCCAGTGGAAAAATGGAACTATTCAATAAAATACTTTCCCAATTGCGAATTGAACTCACATCTTCTGCATACAATGGCAAATAGTCTAACCATTAAACCAAAAGACTAGTCAAGCTACATAGAAAAGAAGCGAAGCCCCACCTGAACTTGTGCGACATCAGGTTTGAAAAAAACTCACAGGAATATTGATACACAAGAACAAAATTAAATTTGAAACAGAAAAATAAATGCTAGAAAACAAAATTAGATCCCCCCCCCCCCCGACATTTAAGTTACAATCATTACCCTTTTCTGTATCTTGTGCCAACCGCAAATATATTACATATTACACTCCTGTCTACACAATGTGGAGCACTTCACAGACAGTAGTAGCAGCGAGCAGCTACATCACAGACTCTGGTAAAGCATAAAGAAGATAAAGCATAAAAAAGCAACATTTGCTTGTCATATTGCCTACGGATGTCAACCCCCTGTCTTCTGGAGGATTATCCCCCTGTCTGGCAATATTGTAATTCTAAGCGAGTGTCGAGGTTAGGTGTAAACATGTTGTTCGGGAAGAGACACATTTCCTGGCCGAAAAGGAAACTGCTTGTCCCAATTTCCTGTGACCAAATGTTGAAAATCCAAGTCGCAGGACTGTGATGGGGAGTGGGTACAGCATCCTGTCTCTCTTCCTACAGATCAGTAACAACAGATGGATGCTACATACAAGATGCGTCATCAATTTGAAAATCCTGCCCCGTGAAATATCATGTGCCGAAAGGGGCATCAATAATACAATAGACAACAATAATAAAAACAGTATTATAATTAATAAACCATAGAAACAGAAAAAAAAGACAACCGACTCTGTGTTTCCACACAACACTCTAGAATAAAACCCTGTCATGAAATGATACCGAGGAGCTAAGACAAAAACAAGCGAAAAAGGCAACAACAAAGTCAGCTCAGAAAACTAGCAAAAACAAAAGAATTAACACCCCCCACACACACACACACATCCATTTAAAAAAACATCTGCTGTTTCCACACACTGGTCAAAGTACAATCCTGTCTTGAAACAATAATGAAACGCGAAGACAAAGACAGAAATCATAAGCATGGACCCCTGATGGCTAAGAAATGATAGTATGAAAGAAAGGACAATGCCCATTTACTTTGAGGACTTTTAAAACTATAAACACACCCACAGCTATGACACAGAATGGGGTTAATCATCATTGGCACCTCAGCTACTATTATCGTTGTTGTTGTTGTTGGGTATCAATGGCGCTCATATGACCTTATGCAGTTGCGGGTGCCGTAAAACCCTCTACTATAATAAAAATAATAAATTGTTGTTGAGTTCGCTACCGTCATGTCATTGTTATTGTTGAGCTAGAGACTGTCAAGTCATGTTTGTTGTTGCTGCTGGGATGTTGTTGAGTTAAAAGACAGCCTAGTCACTGTTGTTTTAGAGACGTTCACCTCGGCCATTGCCACAATATGCAAATGGTCAGAGGGAGCCCCCTTAAAGTCCTACTACCTTTCTTTTTCCCTCCCTGTTGTCTACGTTTTCTTTGCCTTTTTTTCCCATTAAACAAGAAACAAGTTGTCATTAAACAGCTGATGTGTGTCAGTTTTTGTAAGTTTGACAACACTTGCAAGATAAGGACGGTAGGTGTTCGACAACCAAGACGGAGCAAAAGATACCAGAGCACAACAGCCAACCACTCACTGCTTAACAATCTACTGATGACAACAAAGACGATGAAAAGAAAAATAATGAGTGTCCATTAACCACACACAGAGGAAAAAAATGAGACACAGGAATCTCATGATGGTTTGTTCATTTCTTTGAGTAAAATTATGAAAGTAAGACAAACAGACACATCGGAATGACAGAGGGAAAGAAAAGAAGTAGGATCTTCCAGATATGCCCTCATACCATTACCACAATGCTGGCAGTTAAACCCACGAGAAGACAAACAGAAAAAGAAATAGAAAGGAACAAAAAAGATGTAGCCACTGAAAGAAAGACTCAATCCACACCTCCCACCTCTCCATCCCTAGTCTTACAGACACACAAAGAACTGTGGCAGGAGAGTCCTTTGGCTGGTAAACACAGAATCTGATGACAGACAGAAGTTACACGACTTCAATCACAAACAACTGAGGCAAGGACGGGGGAATAAAAAACAACTTATTTTCCTATATAACTATAAGTAAATGAACATGGTGGCTGACATGATTATGTACATAAATTCCACTCGAAAACGTGTTCAAGCAAAATATTGAAACGTGTCCACATCACTTAATGTAGTAACAACAGACGGGCAATTCAATGGCTTCCAAATCTGAAAACATCATGAGCTTGCATTATTACCGAACCTGGACACAGAACATGAAAACACAGACACCACATGTTAAGCTCAGTCTCTGAGCATGACCAAAAGTAACGACAACAGGGCAACATATACAGTTTCTCTTTGTAAACAAAACACAACGCACAACCAACTGGCCAGCGATAATAGACACACGAAACTTGAAATCACTGTACTAAAAAAAAAAGAACAACAGACAACACACAATCAGTGAGCAGGATGAAAAGAAAACGGTAGACACACAAAACATGTCTTGATATTGCTCCTATGCTTCCGACTCGGCCGTCCCTATTTGTTCATCAGTGATAGTCCTCCCCTGAAAGCCCACGGCGGGCTGCTTCCCTCCCAGAGAGGAGAGGCTCCCATGGACCCCCTCCAGAGCAATGTCCTCCGCTGTCTTTGTCTTTCTCATACTCCCTGAGCTCGGGCTTCTTCTATGTCTGCCAGAATCTTCCTCATCGCCGCAGATCAGAGTAGTATCATACGAGGGGGAACCCGCTCGCGGACGGCATTGTCTCTCCAGACTTTCTTCCTCCTCCTCCTTCCCTCCCGCCGCTGCTTCCTCCATCATGTTGCTGTCCTCGTGGTCGCTGCGGATCAAAGCTTTCATCTCCTGCTCATCGTGATCTTCGTCTACTTTCTCAGCCCGTGACGACGACGACGAAGACTTCCCCAGAGGCTTCGGAGACGACAGCAGCGAGGAAGATGAGGACGATGAGGAAGCGGGTGGGAACTGTCTAATCTCACAGCCGCCAGCTGCTGCACCAATCAGATGTGAAGAGGCACTGGCTTCCTCCTCCTCCTCTATAGCGCTGGACGAGGTGAGTCCTCCCCCTCGCCCCTCTCCAGCGTTGCCGTCCACGTGATAGTGCAGGCAGGTGTGGGGAACCAGGAGGACCTTCACCTCCTCTGACTGACCTTCGTCCACACTGGACGACACCTCCGGCTCCTCTGTGACCGGGTGGCTGGTCGGTCCCAGCTCTGGGTCAGCGTGGACAGACTCCTGGCTACCTCCGATCTGGGGAAAAAGGGGGAAAGGAGGGAAAAAAAAAAGAAAATTACTTTTCGCTTCTGAGTTTTTTGTTGTAGTAGAGCTTTTACGGCGCTCGCAACTGCATAAGGTCATAAGAGCGCCAGAAGGTTAGAGGAGTTACAAGAAAGTGACAAACATAAAAAGAAGAGGGGGGGGGGGGGGGAGAGATAAGGACGATAGATTTTGGATAGGAAAGAAGAAGCAAACCACACCAGCACCCGCCAACAACCTACGTTCTGAGTCTGAGTAAGGGCATCTATCTTTAAACAATTGTAGTACCAACTCCCCCCCCCCCCCCCCCACAGCCAATGTATACATTTATATACATTTATGAGTAAAGACAAGCACACTGACACAATAAAGGCCACCTGATCCTGAGAAGGTAAGACAGATGGGGAAAAAAAGGAAAGAAAATAATAAGAACCACAAGGGTCACTAACAACAATTAAGCGATTTACAAATACACTGACACAAAACATAAAACTTTTAGTTTTAGTATGAGTTTTACGGCCCTAGCAACACAATATGCTCATGTAAGTGCCGAAGAATATATGTGTTACAAGAGAGTAACGTACACAAAAGAGGAGGAGAGATAAGGACGATAGATGTTTGATAGGAAAGAAGGAGCAAACCACACCAGAGCACCTGCCAACTACCAACTAAAAACGTCTGTAGTGACAAGGATAGTAAAGATGAACATATAAATGAAGCAGTCAATGAGGAAGTGACTCCATTAAGAGCCATCAAGGGGCACCCTCCAAGCACCCAGGGCCACAAAAATGTACTTTAGAAACAAGAAAGGGAAATAAATCAAAATAAAAACACGCACCCACTACCCCTAATTCTACTCCTGGAAAAACTAACCCCATAACAGGACAGAATACATTAGCCAGAAAACAAAACCCAGATGGAAAAACGGGGTCACTGACCCAGTAATAGGAGAGAACATAAGTGAGAAAATACGACCCACACGGAAAACTGACCCTATAAAAAGGACAGAATCTACACCACAAAATAAGACTTCAACAACACATTGGGCAAAAAGTGGAAGTTCACATTAACTACAAACTCAACACTTGCAAACTACTCCCCCTTCAACTTATGGAAAAACATCGCCCAAAATACACTACACCTACATGAAGCTAGCTTTACACAGGATATCACCCTAAGCCAATAAGTTAAAAAATGCAAGCACACCTGTCCCTGGGCTCAGAAAAATACTTTTTGCGCTGCATTTAGAATAATATTATTCTCTCCTGGTTTGAATAATATTTTAAACTGTAAAATGACGGCATCCCCACCCCCACCCCAAATAGTGGTTGGGGCTATAGGTGTGACAAACGAACCCAACACGTGTCACAAGTCCTGCACTATCACTGTCTCATTGTCAGAAAACAGGTAAGCAGGTCAAATGCACCTGTATGGTTAAATTCTTTTGACACGTACATTTAAAATCCTTTCCCCTTTCATTCCTATCTATATAGCCAGCAGGCTACTTCGATTATTAGTTTTAGTAAGAGTTTTACAGTACTTGCAACACCATTAAGTCATATAAGTGCTATCTATAGACTAGATGCGTTACAAGTGAGTATCAAACACAAAAAAGGAAGAGATAAAGACAGATGCTAAAAAGGAAAAAAGGAGCAAGCCACACCAGAGCACCCGCAAACCAATCAGCAACATTTATTTTCACAAGAAAACACCAACAAAACCCATTCCCCCCAGTAAGTAAGGGTAAGTGCAGGGTAGTAACAAATAACTGCACCGCATTTCATCATCTATTTCCACACTTTTCCCATTTGCTACCCCCCCTCCCTCTCTTTAAGCATAACAGTATCTACCATGTTGACACCCTCCAGAAAACCATCAAATAAAGCTTTGGTCTCGCGCCGCACACACACACACACACACACACACACAGAGAGAGAGAGAGAGAGAGAGAGAGAGAGAGAGAGAGAGAGGGGGAGGGAGAGGGAGAGGGAGAGGGAGGGAGAGAGAGAGAGAGAGATAGATAGAGAGAGAGAGAGAGAGAGAGAGAGAGAGAGAGAGAGAGAGAGAGAGAGTCTTGGTTTTAGAAGAGGTCTTACGGCGCTAGAAACTGCATGCGGTCATATGAGCGCCAGAAGTTTAGAGGTGTTACAAGAAAGTAACAAACATAAAAAAGAAGGGGAGAAAAGGACGACAGATATTTGATAGGAAAGAAGAAGCAAACCACACCAGAGCACTGCCAACCACCCAGAGAGAGAGAGAGAGAAAGAGAGAGAGAGAGAGAGAGAGAGAGAGAGAGAGAGAGAGAGAGAAAGAGGGGGGGGGAGAGATAGAGAGAGAGATAGAGAGAGAAGGGAAGTGGAAACTTGTTGAATCCTTTCATAAACAGTTTAAAACAGCCAGTCCGGTCTTATTTTTAGTTTTAGTAAGAGTGTAAAGGCACTTGCAACACAAAGAGTAGCCGAAGATGAGAGATGTTACAAGACAGTAACATACAAAGACAAGAGGGAGAATATTGATGATAGAGAGGAAAGAAGAAGCATACCGTTCACCAGCACTAGCCAACCAACCAAGAGTTCGGTCTGCACGGGGCAGGGACAAACTAAGAAATACAATATTTTAAAAAACGTTTAAAATGCAAATATAAAACCCACAAAGAAGCAAACCAAGACACAGAGTTGCAAAAGAGATATAAACTGTTCCAAGACGGAATTTCTACATGAGGATAAAAACGGTAAGTTCCATCGTGGGCATACCCGCATTACTGCTCAAAACTACGAGGTGGTGACATTAAATTACACTACATTCTTTCTTGAACACTCACACCCCGCTTTCCAACACCCCCCCCTTTCTTCAAAAAGGATCTAACGTAGTGCCCGGACCAAAGACCAACCTGCATGATGGTAATAGGCGGTATCCATTCGATGATCGGTTCGGTTTCTGGCAGTCTCTGTGCACACTATAAATAGACCAAATGCCAAAACCGACCGCTCGACACGCAGCCTTGAAAAGAAACGTGTTCGTTATTGAAAGTCATCATCATCATCATTTTTTAATTAATTTTTTTTTTTTTTTTTTTTTTTTTTGGGGGGGGGGGTGTTCTTCGGTGACAAATTTCCCTTGGACCACAATCCCCAAATCCCCAAACCGAAAAAAACCGAACCGATGATACCGACGGGCACCACCTATAACACGGTAACCACATAAAAAAAACTTTATGGAGTTGATTCACGATGCGAACAAGCCTCTGGTCCTAAATGGGCCTTCCTATCCCCCAAAACACCCCCAAGTCATATAATTATAAGTTCCTAAAATTAGGTGTTATTTAAGAGTAACATACAGACACAAGAAGGCGGCGAGGTAAGGACGATAGATGTTTGATAGGAGAAGGAAAAGGAGCAAAACACACCACAGCACCAACACGTTTGTAAGTACACACACAGAGGGACC